GCCCGCCGCCCCCACCCCAGGTCAGCGCGGCCCGCGGGGGGCCAGGCCGGCCCGGCAGTGCGCCCGCTTCCCCTTTCTCTTCAGATGCCTTTGATCCCCGGGCTCTCCGCCGCACCTCGGCTCGGGAGCCGCCTGGGTCGGCCCGCGGGGATCCTGGAAACGGTCCTCGGTTTATCTCCTTTCATCAAGCGGCCTTGGGCAGCCTTGAAACCGCGGAGCCAGTAATTGCTTTTTTCAGGAGGCCCAGTGCGGACTGGATAACAGCCAATCAGCGCCTTGTTTACACTTGGTGATGGACAGCCCGCTGGCCGAGTGCCAACCAATCATGGCGGTTCCGCAGGAGCGAGGAAGGCGGGGAAAGAGTGGCGACCGCAGACCTCAGGTTTAACTCCTTCGTGTCGGCGCCGGAAAGAGACAGGAGAAATCCAAAGGAGTCGAGCGGTGTTGTTTGGCATCTACTTAAATATGCCCCCAACAAACACGGAAAAAGAGGAGCAGGAATTATGTATTCATCGCCACTAAGACATCACCTCTACTTCTTGAAAATAAATAACATTTGGGTAGGCAACCAAATTCTAACCGAAATATTTGCTTGCAGAATATTTCTAAAAGTGGTTTTGGTTCTGATTATGATAAAGAGAATTGTTTAGAGGCTGTTTTCCATTGTAGTGAGAAATTTTGTGAATATGTAAGGACAGGCGCTGAGAAATGCTAAGCACGGTTTCACACCATGACAACCACCCTAAAATTATCAAGTGAAGATATTTTTAAAATCTAGGAGCTGATGAAAAAAGCAAATCCTTATCTTAGCAACAGAGCCTCGATTTTCATTTCGATTGTTGCTGCGCTGCGGAGTGTGGCAGAGGGAGATAAAATTGAGCGCGGACAGATAGATGGCTGGAGAAGAAAGGTCCATCTCCCTGCCTCTCAGGCAGAGGGAGGAAGGGCCAGGCAAGCACTCATGGAGTTTGTGTGGCCACTCCTCAGACCCAAGTGTATTCTCCGGCTCGGGTCCGAGTGGGTGGCGGCCTGGGAGTGGAGGTACAGCAAGACAGTCCGGCCTCTGCGCTTGGAAGTTGGGCCTTCTTGCATCCAGGTCACCTGCCAGACAGACCCCAGGCGTGGACAGGGCTTCTGGTTTATGGCGTAAGGCTGTCCTTTTTATTCTGTGCAAAACAAATAAACAAAACCCCAAACGTTAGACCTGACAAATGAAGGAAAAACAAATCCCCGAATCTCCCCTGGACATGGACACGCGCTTTCAATCGCTCACTCGCCGGTGCTCCGCTCCCGCCCTGCGCCACCACATTCCCATTCAGCAGCAATGATCTGCGCAGAGGAGCTGCGCAGTCGCTGGGCTTGAATTAGGCGCCATCAGGCTTGGTAGTAGCCCTGCTGCTCCCTGATTGGCAGCTCCCTGGCCCGGCGCCAGCCTATTGGGAGGCCTGTTTACGCCGAATGAGTGGCACGAGCTCAGGGCCGTGGAGGGCCGCGCGGCCAATCAGCGCGCAGGCTGCTCCGGGTTGAGTGGCACGAGCTTATTAGTATGCAGGGCCCGTGGCTCGCCGCGCCGGGCTGCAGGTTTGAGAGCCGCTCTGGATGGGCTCGCTAGAGTCGTTGTTGTGGAAGCCGTGCATTCACAGTGCAACAGTCAGCACATTGAAAATACCAATAGGAATACAAACCAAAGTCACATTTACTGATTTAATTGTATTGCATTCAATTGTATCCAGGAAACAGCCTCCAGTAAGTAACTGAAATTGCTTTCATTTTTTAAATTTTTTTGTATTTTTATTATTTTATTATTTTATTTTGGCTTTTGGGGATTTACATTTTTTAAGCAAAAGAAATTCAGGTTTGTGGTGTTAAGAAATAATAGATCTTCCCTTTTAAAATCCGTTATGATGTTGAAAGGTTTTTTTTATAAAAAAAAAACCGATGGACTATATATATGAGTACGATATTTTTTTCTCTGAAAAATTTTATCGATCGGTTTAAAATTCCCCCCGTAATGCGTCCTTGCTTTGCTCTGAGCGCTTGTTGTCTCGATCGACACCCTACATTAAAAATAAATTATCGAGACAGGACAGAGACCGCCACGCTTCGTTCAGCAAGAGCCCCGCGGGTAGCCCCGAGTGGGCAGTCAGTGAGAGCCCAGCTCTGGAGGAACCACGAGCGAACCCCAATTATTTGCTCCCCCATCCTACTCCCCTCCCCCAGCAGTCTTGAATGGGCCCCGCCCGGTCGCTCCCCGGCGCAGGGAACGGTCGGTTCTCGGTGGCCACGGCCGCTGCTTCCTGGGCCTCAGCGAGGGGAGAGGGGATTGGAGGGGTACTGGCGGGCTTTCAGGTTTCGCTCCCCACAGACTTAATTCTTTTCGGAACATTTCTTTCTTTCTTTTTTTCTTCTTCTGGAGGAGAGGGGGTGGAGGAGGGGGGCCGAACAGTGGGGCGTTTTCACGCGGTGCGTTCTGGGCAGCACGCGGGCTCAAGGCCACGACCCGAGTGGCGTGGTCCAGGGACGGGTCCATCTCCCAGAGCCGGGGTCTCGCACCACCGCGTTCCCGTTCTTCTCCGGGATGGGGGGGGGCGGGTTTCGCAGGGAGCGGGTTGTGCAGCCACGCTGGAGCCACTCGCGTCCGGTGCGCTCCTGGCTGCGGCCTGGCCTTGCAGGCCCCTTTGAACCCACCCGCGCGGGAAACTCGGCTGGAGGGAGCCCACGGACCCCAGAGCTTGGCCTCCATGGGAGGACAAAGGCGTCTCAGATTCGGCTTTTAGATGCAAAATTTGAAAACAAAGCAAACCTCGAGAAGCCGAGGGTACCAGTGCTGGCCAAGCCTCGGAAGGAACTGCGGCTCTGGGGGGTCACGCCCAGCATCCGGGGGAGGATTTTTGGGGTCCGGGTACTTTAGACCTGTTCTTATCGGCGACTCTCGGCCGCGCGGGGCTCTCCGCCACTTTCTGTTTCCTCCAGTGCCACCCTGTCCCGGGCCCATTGCGGTGTCCTGTCCGGAGACTGGGCGCGTGGAGGCCTCCGAGCCTCGGGACTCGGGGACTGCTGCATCGCAGCTCCGGGCCTCGGCCCTCGCTCGGTGGCCCCGGTGGCTGTCCCTCCTCGTTCCGTACTGAGCCGGCTTTCCCAGGCCCAGGGAGCCAGCAGACCTGGGCGGCGCGGCAGCTCTCCGGCAGGACGGAACACAAAGAAAAGTCCCCTCCAGTGCGGTCGGTCAGAAGCGCAGCAGCGGGTACTGGCGACATAATCCAGCCCTTGTTTGCGTAGAAAGTCTAGTGGGCTTGTGAGAAGGCACGAACGAGCCAGCGATCGGCCCGCAGGGGGTGGAGAGTAAAGCTGCTCCGGGAGCTCAAAGCCCGCGTCCCGAGAATCGCTTGCAGCCCCCACTTTTCGCCCCTACTTTGAAATGTCTTACTGGGGGTGGGGGCCCAGAACAAAAGCCCAGCGCACACGACTCCCCGGAGGCCGTCGCGAAGCCTTGTACCGCGCGCGCAGCCTCCGACCCCACTCCGGCCCTCGGCGCCTTTGAAGCGGCAGGTTCCTGACCTCCCTCCCCTTCCTTCTTTCCCTTTGTCCTCCTCAGCGCCCTCCGGGGTTCGAGAGGCGCCGGCCTGGGTAGGGGCGCGCAAGTTCCTCACCGACCCTGGGCAGCCCCTCCCCTAACCCTGGCGCCGGCAGCGCCTGGGCCTTGCCTGAGCCTCCCGCGCCCTGGCGATCGCTGAGCAGGCCCGCGCGGTGGAGAGGCGAGTTATTTGTTGGACCCGGGGAGAGTGAAACTCCCCAGAGGGAAGAGTGCCTCAAACCCCTTTGTATGCAGTTTGAACACAAAGAGAAGTCTTTGTGTAGCCCCGTTTATTTACAATGCAAAATTCTCCGAATAAATATTAAAAAAAGCTTATCACCTGGGCAAATATGTATTCACTTAATACATTATGTTTTCGGTTATAGATTAAATCAGACACAAAATAGTGTGCAAATAAGACAGTGTAGAACCCAGAGCATAAAATATAGCAATTTAAATGGTATTTACGAAATAGAAAACATCTTAATCGCTTTGTTGTCACGGTGGGATGGCTTAAAAAAAGATTTTGATTTTCTGCAAAGTTCACAATTAAGAATACCTCCTTTCTATTGGAGCTGAGACCAAGCATTAAAACAATTCGTATTTCGGAAATAAGGAGAAAGTATTGGAAATGGAGGATGGCAGAGACTTTGGTCGCACGTGCATGGTGGTGTACAGTTTATATCGCGTGCTCGGTTGCTCCTCTCAGAGTTTGAAATTGTCTGCGATTTCACCCTGGAGTAGACATTTCACGATGGGAGGGGTAGAGGAAAAGGGAGAGGAGGGTCATTTTAAGTCGGCCTTGCTAGAGGTGGGGATGGAAGACCGAGGACCAAGGTCTGCTGGGACCCAGACACAGGAGAAAGCTGCGCTCTGTTTGGTCTCTGCTCCCTCACTGCAGGGTCGATCTGGGTGCCACGCGGGGACCAGCCTTGGTTAGGTGATCCAGGGCGGGCGCTGAATGGAGAAACGTCGTGGCCGATTTGGGAGGCCGAGAGAAAACAATTTCTGACTCTGAGCCCCCTCCCCCAAAGCCCCCAATCCGCAGAGGAAGATCCTGGGCGAATTTGATTGGGGGGCGGGGTGATTGTTCCAGCCTCACTAGGAAGCTCCGGGCTCGGGGACAGCAGGCCAGGCACTGCGGCGTAGCGGCCCAGGTGATGCCGGTGGCGGTCGAGGGGCGCCCGGGGCTCCGGGACGCCAGTCTGGGGTTGTGGCACAATGCTTGAGGGTGGGGGCCGGTCCCGCTGGGGCTGAGTGAGTGGGGGACGACATTCAGAAGAATGGACTGAAAGACGCATGGGGGGATGGGAGAGGAGAAAAGGAAGGTTATTTAAAAAAAAAAAACTCTTGAGTTACAATCAATAAAATTACTCGCTTAATTAGCATGGTTATTCGGTTAAGCGGAATGCAGTAAAAGCTGGACCTCAGAAAGACCGGGGTGGGGGGGGGAGCGTGGACCCCGGGCTTTTTCCTCCGAGACACCTTTGGGCAGCGGGGGAGGGGAGAGGGTGTGTGTGAGTGTGTGTGTGCGCGCGCGTGCGAGTGTGCGTGATGGCTTCGCAGATTTGGGTTTTTATCACCCAGCGGAGCCAGCAGCCTCTTCGCAACGGCGCCTTCGCCGCAGGGACTCTCAGGGACCAGAAAGGGAAGCTGCGCGCAGCGCGGTTGGGTTGCTTCTGGCTCTTGCAGGCCAAGCGTAGCTCGGACGGTGCGTGTGTGCTCGCGGACTCGCGTGCAGGGCGGCTCCAGTGACCCGGCGCATAAGCGTGTGCAGTAGGGAGTCCTCGGAGCGCTCCCAGCCCCGCTGTCCGGTCTGGATGCCACTCCGGTTGGCGCGCGAGGAGGGGGTTGGTAGCGGGAGGGGCGGGGACCCCCGGGCGAGAGGAACCCCCGAGTCACCGAATCTATTCTGCTTGCCTCTGCAGACCATGG